AGACGATTGACAGGAGGGATAGGTTGGAAGCTGAACGAGGCTCTCCTCCTGGATCAGGAAGTGGATCAAAAAATTAGAGAAGAGATTGAAAGATATTTTCGAGAGAATGAGACAGGGGAGGTATCGATGGCTACAGTGTGGGAGTCCCATAAGGCTTATATAAGAGGTATCCTGATTGCGTCTGGGGCAAAAAAGAAAAGGGAAAGAAGAGAAAAATTTACTGGGCTGTTAAAAGAAATAGCTGAGTTAGAGCAAATACATAAAAATAAAAGATCAGAAAAGATAAAACAGAAGGTGATAAAAAAGAAAGAAGAACTAGAGCTATTGCTGGAGGAGGAGAAGAGAAGAGTCTTTAATAAAGTTGCAAGTGAGAGATATAAATGGGGAGATAAACCAGGAAAATATTTAATGAGAGCTTTGAGGAAAAAGAAAAATAGAAATTATATTGAGAAAATAAAAAACCCCAAGGGGGAAATGGTTTACTCTACTAAAGAGATCATCGAGGTGTTTTAAAGAATATTACAGCAAGCTATATAATATCGCCTCCCAAGACCCAGTAAATATAAATGGAAATGAGAGAAGAGAGAAAAGAAGGGAATATTTAAAAAATGCAGGTTTACCGAAGTTAAAGTATGATCAACTGAATTCCCTTGACTTGGAAATTACACAGGAGGAAATAATAAGAGCATTAAAGGACACTCCGACGGGGAAAAGTCCGGGCCCAGATGGATATACAGTGAGATACTATAAAAAATACAGTGACCTGTTAATACCCAAACTGAAGAGATATATGAACGCCCTGGGAGGAGAGATGGAGGTGAGAAGGGAATCTTTACAGGCCCATGTGGTGCTGATACAAAAGGAAGAGAAGGATCCCTCTCAGTGCTCTAGCTTTAGACCGATATCACTTTTGAATATAGACATCAAGCTATATGCTAAGGTCCTAGCAAATAGACTAAAAGATCTCATGCCAGAATGGATTCAGGGGGACCAGGTGGGTTTTGTCCCGGGGAGGGAGGGCAGAGATAATGGCCTAAGAACTCTGTTGCTTATCCAAAAAGCTAGAAAGGGGAAAAACCCCGGTAATAGTACTTTCGATCGATGCTGAGAAGGCATTCGATAGAGTAGATTGGAGTTTTATGATGGATACCCTGGAAACTCTAGGAATAGGAGTAAGAATGAGAGAATGGATAGGAAAGCTGTATAGAGAGCCCTCAGCGATAGTAATGGTTAATGGAGAGAGGTCGGAACCTATCAGAATGTCAAATGGAACTAGACAGGGTTGCCCATTATCTCCATTGTTGTAAGTATTGGCATTGGAACCATTATTGGCAACTATTAGGAAGAACTTAGATATAAAAGGAGTGCAGATTGGGGAAGTCGAACATAAAGTAGCTGCCTATGCGGATGATCTTTTGTTTTATGTGGGAAATCCTAGGATAACACTCCCAATTCTAATGAAGAGCTTAAAAGAGTATGGGGAGTTATCAAACTTGAAAATTAATCCAACCAAAACTGAGATCTTGAATGTAAACCTTTCAAACAGTGAAAAAGAAAAAATACAAAAAGAATTCCCCTTTATATGGAAAAATAGAGAGATAAAGTATTTGGGGGTGAAACTTTCTGCCTCATATATAAACCTGTATAAATTAAATTATATCCCACTCTTAAATGAGATTAAGAAGGAACTAAGGAGATTCGAAGGAAGTAACCCATCCTGGATAGGCCGTATAAACCTGATAAAAATGATAATTGTACCAAAAATCCTCTATAAATTTCAGATGATTCCAATCAAAATTCCGGAGGCCTTTTTTTAAAGTAATAAAAAAGATGTTAACAAAATATATATGGAAAAATAAAAAACCCAGAATATCATATGACTTGTTAAATAGAAATAAAGAGAGAGGAGGCTTGGGAGTGCCAGATATTAAAAGGTACTACAAAGCAGTAGTCTTAGCGAGAATCTATGATTGGACATATAATTATGAGGGGAAAAAGTGGGTTCAGATTGAGAATGAACTAAGTGGAGTTACCTTGAAGAGAACTATTTGGGCACCAGCACAATATAGGGGGTTAAAAGATACCACGAGTGTTTTTACATTAAATGTTTTTAATGTTTGGGACAAATTGCATAAATTTATGAAATGGGATTTTAACTCACAACTAATACCACTGAGGAATACGGATTATTTTCCCCCAGGCAAGGAGGAAAGTATAGGGAAATGGATTAGAAAAGAAGATATCCAACTGAGAGACATAATGGATGGACAGGAATTGAGAACACTTGGTGATTTGAAAGGGGATAAAAGGGAACTTTTTATTAAAATAGATGAATGGAAATATTATCAATTAAAACACTTTGTCAGAAACCTCCCAAGACCGTTCAGATCGAGAGAGGATTGGAACGGCTTTGAGAGGTTGTTAGAAACACGAGGTGATGGTAGGCGAGGCACCGCAAAAATTTATAAAATCCTCACTGAGTTAGACACTTACACAAAACCAATGTATATAGGTAAATGGGAAAGAGATTTGGGAATAGAGATTGACGAGGATAAGCAAAGAAAAATATACAGATTAATACACGAGAATATAAGTATGAGAGAGGTGGAGGTAAATTACAAGTGTTTAACAAGATGGCACATCACACCGAATGTTGAGTATAAGATATGTGGGGAAAATTCACTAGAGTGCTGGAGGGGATGTGGAAAAATAGGCACCTTATATCATATATGGTGGGAGTGCCCAAAAATTCAAGGTTTCTGGGAGATGATCGTTCAATTAATTGAGAATATCTCGGGGATAAAGATAGGACTGAACCCAGCAGTATGTCTCCTACATAGTACAGAGTTATCAGTAAATAACTACAAGGATTCGGGTATATGGTGCTATCTAAATGCGGCGAAGGGGTTGATACCTAAGTTTTGGCATAAACCAGAGGTGCCGAAGATAGAGGATTGGGTGGAAAGAACTAATCAAATTTATAAGATGGAGAGACTGTGCTATATGCAGGAAGACAGGATGGGGTTGTTCTATAAGAGGTGGAGAACATGGGAAGAATTCATGGTGAAATATATGAAGTAACTATGTGAGAAAGACAGAAGGATTTGTACCCTATATTCGCGTATGAAGAGGGATAATAGAATTATGCAGAATGGGTGGGTTTATTTTGGAGGAGGGAGGTTTTTTTTTTTTTTTTTTTTTTTTTTTTTTTTTTTTTTTTTTTTTTTTTGGGTGGGGGGAAATTAGATAGTGTGGGGGTGGTAATTGGGAATAAAGATTGATAGAAATGTTATTAAAGATATGCAAATTTGTTTGTATGAGAACAATGATGAAATGTGCAATATATATGGAAAATAAATAAAAATTTAAATTAAAAAAAAAAAAAAATAAAAGTTTGCAAATAAATAATTGTTCTTCAGAAATTTAGGCCAAGATGTATTCTACTACATGTCTTTGGTGAAAACAACCCAAATTAGGATGTATTTTTTAGTTTGTAGGAAAGTTATAGAGTTCACAAACTATGGTATAGATCTGAATATTGATCAATCCTGAAGTACTGACAGCCAATCTATTTTCTTGAGGTCCAAGAATGTCAGAACAGTACAGATATCCCCCAAATGACCCCTTTTTGCAGAGTAGACAGTCGACGTACTTCATAAGAGGAATGGCAAATTTTTTAAAGTTGTATTTTTTGTCATAATTTTTCACTATTTTTTTTTTACATACTGTCACCAGTGCAGTACAGCATCATCATATAACTGGCATGGCGGTGAACAGGGACAGTATGAAAAAAAAAAATTTTTTTTTTTTTTTTTTAATTTTTTTTAAGATTTTTTTTCATATTTAACTATGACCAAAGTAGTACAATGTTACCATAGTAACATTGTACTACTTTGGGGAAGTGATCTGTATTTTTTTTTTTTTTTACACAATTTGCTTATAGCAAAGAATTACTTGACATCGATTCATTCAGGTTTTTTTTTTTTTTTTTTTTTGAAGCCATCCATTGTATACAACTGTCATGTGACCTGCTGTGATTGGTCACTCTAAGTGGTTAAGGATCCGTTCACACCTATGCGTTTTTTAGTGCTTTTTGCAGAAATGCACTACAGTCCATTTAACATGGTTTCCTATGGAACATGTTCACATCTATACTTTTTTGAGCTGCTGCATTTTTGGAAAGGGTCAGGGACTTTTATAAAAACAAAAAGCAGCGTTTTTGCTACAATAGAGTTCAATAGAGAAGCTGCTGAAATGCATGGTAGTGCATTTTTGCCAGATTTTGCGTATTGCATTTTTATTCTGTGCAGCAACGAAAAAAATGTCAATTTTTTAAAAAAAAAAAAAAAAAAAGCTCAACAAAATGCAAAACGCAGTAAAAACACATGTAGAAAAATGCAAAACGAACTGCGAAAAGCACTGCAAAACAGACAAAAATCAAACTGCACAGGTGTGAACGGAGTCTAATTGTGTAAAGGACATATGAGAAACACTTTGAAAAGATAATAAAATAATTAGATTTTTTAGGCCAAGGATTTTATTAGCTCCATGTTTTGCATTTAGAGAGATTTTCTTGCTGCAATTTGTATATTTGTGCAACTGCATATACGTGTTATGGAGCGACCGGTCCGGTATTTCCGCCGCCGCCACCATGTCAGAATACTAGCTCTTCTCTGCAGCAGAACCTTACCTGTTCCTCGGCACAGCGCTGTACAGTCTTCCCATGCCGGCATCTTCCCGCGCCGGCATCTGTGACAGCCGGGTGCCCACTGCGCATGTGCGAGAAGCGCTGCGCTTTGTAAATGGCCCGGCGCCTTCTGGGACCTGTCATGTGTCCCAGAAGACGCTGGGCCATTCACAAAGAGCAGAGCTTCTTGTGCATGTGCAGTGGGCACCTGGCTGTCACAGCCCGGTGCCCACACTAAAGGGAGGACAACTCCGCGGAAGTGGGAGCAGATACCTGTCAAATTCAGGTACCCGCTCCCCCTCCCTCCCCAAAGGTCCACAGTCTCTGGTCATCCCCTGTACTGTCTGCAGTCTTTTGTCATCTCCTGTACTGTCTGCAGTCTCTGGTCATCCCCTGTACTGCCTGCAGTCTCTGGTCATCTCCTGTACTGTCTGCAGTCTCTGGTCATCTCCTGTACTGCTTGCAGTCTCTGGTCATTCCCTGTACTGTCTGCAGTCTCTGGTCATCCCCTGTACTGCTTGCAGTCTCTGGTCATCCCCTGTACTGCCTGCAGTCTCTGGTCATCCCCTGTACTATGCCTGCAGTCTCTGGTCATCTCCTGTACTGTGTCCGCAGTCTCTGGTCATCTCCTGTACTATGTCTTCTGGTCATCTCCTGTACTATGTCTGCAGTCTCTGGTCATCTCCTGTACTATGTCCGCAGTCTCTGGTCATCCCCTGTACTATGTCCACAGTCTCTGGTCATCTCCTGTACTGTGTCCGCAGTCTCTGGTCATCTCCTGTACTATGTCTTCTGGTCATCTCCTGTACTATGTCTGCAGTCTCTGGTCATCTCCTGTACTGTGTCCGCAGTCTGGCCATCTCCTGTACTATGTCTTCTGGTCATCTCCTGTACTATGTCTGCAGTCTCTGGTCATCTCCTGTACTATGTCCGCAGTCTCTGGTCATCTCCTGTACTGTGTCTGCAGTCTGTGGTCATCTCCTGTACTGTGTCCGCAGTCTCTGGTCATCTCCTGTACTGTATCTGCAATCTCTGGCCATCTCCTGTACTGTGTCCGCAGTCTCTGGTCATCTCCTGTACTGTGTGCTGCAGTCTCTGGTCATCTCCTGTACTGTGTCTGCAGTCTCTGGTCATCTCCTGTACTGTGTCTGCAGTCTGTGGTCATCTCCTGTACTGTGTGCGCAGTCTCTGGTCATCTCCTGTACTGTGTCGCAGTCTCTGGTCATCTCCTGTACTGTGTCCGCAGTCTCTGGTCATCTCCTGTACTGTGTCCGCAGTCTCTGGTCATCTCCTGTACTGTGTCCGCAGTCTCTGGTCATCTCCTGTACTGTGTCCGCAGTCTCTGGTCATCTCCTGTACTGTGTCCGCAGTCTCTGGTCATCTCCTGTACTGTGTCTGCAGTCTCTGGTCATCTCCTGTACTGTGTCTGCAGTCCATTGGTTCAGAATATTTTTTTCTTGTTTTTCTCCTCTAAAACCTAGGTGCGTCTTATGGTCAGGTGCGTCTTATGGAGCGAAAAATATGTTATATTATCCATCTTTTTAATATTTGTTACCAGGCTCTATGATTTTATGGATATTTATTCTTCTCTGTCAATCCACTGGCCAAAAAGTAATGTGTGTTATTAATATATGTTCTTTGTACATGATTTTATTTTATTTTTTTCTTAATGGGAGTCTCCTTTGTCCGAATCTTGAAATTATGTTTCCTTTTTTTTTAAAGATATTTTAAAAAATTCAGATATTGTTCCTATGCACCTCACGTGCGGGTATGTACACCACTTACAGACGGTATTCATCATTTGAAAACCTCCTGGCCAACACAATTCTCCGAGTCTTTGTCTGGGTGATAGCCTGCATTACCTGCTTCGGCAACATCTTTGTCATTGGAATGCGATCATTTATTCAATCAGAAAACAAGACTCACACTATGTCCATAAAGATCTTGTGCTGTAAGTATACACATATTCACAGTCAAAGGAATAACATCTTGAAAATATAAAAGTGGTGGTTTGCTGCTTTCATTGCCAGATTAGAGCAAGCTCTTTATCTCACATAAAGTATAACTCTGGACAAAATAAAAAATGAGAAATGTGATGTAGTCTCTCACTAGCATTAATGCATCAGTTTTTTGTGTCTCCTTTATCACATACTTATTTCCAGCAAATATGTTATTTTTGTATTTCCTGTAAAGGGCCATGCTCTCCAGTAAAAGTGTCAGTTAGTGGGGTTGGGACAATCTATATTACCGTTGCAAGGGTGCTTACAACTATCAGCTTTCATTTATAGGATTCAAACTCATTTTCTAAATGAAAACAAAACTGTTGCTATAACTGCCACATATGTGTTAGCTGAAATATAGCTTTAACCACTTGCCCTCCAGAGGATTTACCCCCTTCCTGACCAGGCCATTTTTTGCAATTCGGCACTGCATAACTTTAACTGACAATTGCGCGGTCATGCAACGCTGTACATAAATAGAATTTGTCCCTTTTTTCCCACAAATAGAGTTTTCTTTCTGTGACATTTGATCACCTGTGCATTTTTTATTTTTTTGCGCTATAAACAAAAGAAGACCGATACATTTGAAAACAAAACAATATTTTTGACTTTTTGCTATTAAACATGTGCAATAAAAAAATTTGAAAAATCAACTTTCGGCATAAATTTAGGCCAAAATGTATTCTGCTACATGTCTGCTACTTGAAAGTTATAGCATCTACAAATGGCGGTATATATACTGGAATTTAAATTTTTTTTTATACTAGTAATGGTGGCGATCAGCGACTTATAGTGGGACTGCGGTGGGCATTCTGACACTGGGGGGAACTGACTAACTGCCGCTGACATCCCCAGTGACACTAATGCAGTGATCAGTGCAAATAAAAAGCACTGACACTGTACTAATGACACTGGGCAGGAAGGGGTTAATATCCGGGGCGATCAAAGGGTTAATTGTGTGTGTTTTACTGTGTGTGATGTGCGCTGTTTTATCTATGAGAAATTCTGTCTTGTATTTCTCTGCTGTGCAGAGAAATACAAAACAGCATGTCCTTGCTGGTAGGAGGGAGACCTGTGTTTACACAGAGGTCTCTCCCCTGTCAGCTTTGCACGGCGATCGCAGGGTGCCGGCGGGGAATCTCCAGCCGGGACCTGGTCATTGACATACCTAGCCGCCAACGTGCGGGTAGGATGGCGCGCACGCCCGCTCCCTCCCCAGAAATGCAAATCATGTATATATTTGTAATTTTGCACAGATTTGCCACCCTGTAGCAGTAGTTCTACTATAGGGTGTCGGGGAAGCGGTTAATCTGTTTAGCTCTTAAAGTCCATTTATAACTACATGTCAATCCAAAGCTGGCCATACAGTGTTATTTTTTCTTTCTTTTTTTTCATTCAACCAGCAGATTCCTCCACTGATACAAACGATGTAGATGGAGGAATCCCCATATTTGTTACTAGCCAACCTACTAGTTACACTTTCCACTGTAGTGCTCCAGCTTTATTCAGGTCCAGGAGCCTTTGCATCTCTCTCAGTACAGATTTCCTTTATAATAGGTCATTTGAATACACTTAATACAGTATATGGATATATTGAATATACAGTACAAAGATCAATGTCATCAAACTGCCTACAGTACATTGAAACTTTCACTTCTGTTCTCCCCAACAGGTGCTGACTGTCTGATGGGTGTCTATCTGTTTTTTATTGGAGTGTTTGATGTTAAGTACCGTGGACAGTATAAAAAGTATGCCTTGCTATGGATGGAAAGTCTACAATGCAGGAGCCTTGGATTTCTAGCCATGCTGTCTACAGAAGTATCTGTTCTGCTTCTGACCTATTTGACTTTGGAGAAGTACCTAGCTATTGTATTTCCATTCAGCAACATTCGTCCAGGCCAACGGCAGACATTTATAATTTTGATGACGATATGGGTCATTGGATTTATAATTGCTGTAGTTCCATTCTGGAATGAAGACTTTTTTGGAAATTACTATGGAAAAAATGGTGTTTGTTTCCCTTTGTATCCAGATCAAACCGAAGAGCCTGGAGGCAAGGGATATTCTTTGGGAATATTTCTAGGTGAGTTATATTTTCATTTGCAATTTACTTCTTTCTTGTGAGGGTCAATAGTTTTCTTTACCTAAGAAAAGAGAAGGTGGATATGCACCAATTCACTTACCAGATAAAGAAACATGTTTCTTCTGATCTTGGTGCTGTCCAGTAAAATTTGCACTGATTCTGCAGTACAAATTCAACCAATCGCAAGTTTTTCAATTCAGTACCAAGTTCCACATTAACTTTACATAATATGCCAGCAAAGTAATATGATTACTATCCCAATTATTTCACATGGAGTCAGGAAAGGAGTCCATAGCTCTGTGTAAGTTTTGACAGGTCATTTTATAGATTATGTGGGTCTTTCTCTCCACAGTTCCAGCCAGGGGTGGACTGACCATTCAGACACTCAGGCACTGCCCGAGGGCTCCTGGTCAGTAGGGGGCCCCATGAGATGCCCCTAGTACCTTTCATAGGCTTTTTTAGGTGTAGTTTGAGTGTGGGTGAGGACACAGGGGCCCCATGATCCCCTATTGTCAGTCATGAGTTGTCAGTCCGCCCCTGGTTCCAGCATTAGAACAGAGCAGTGCTGAAGAAAGAAATGAAGAAAACATTTGGCTAGGATTTAAAAAAAAAATCATTTGGTATTTTACTAGAATTAATTAAAAACTGGAGAAATGCAAAAGACGGTTTGTCAGCACCCAGCCGCATACTTACATACTGTACATGTGTGATTTCTCACACAAGAAAACTGAAAAATAAATAAATTTATAAATTGTCAGTATGATAAGAAAAAAATAAAATGATGTCTTTAAGTGTGATAAAAATTGTGCATCTTTATAATGAATCAAAGTTATACACATGCAAATCAATATATCATAATATTTTCTAATTTGTACAAATACAGAGCAAAGAACAAGTCATCCATCACTATGTTAGACCATGTGACGACAGGTGCCCGGTCATACCGGGTGTGACGTGCCATGTGATTTTTCATGCGATGTAAATTTCAAATCGCATGGCAAGTCGCACCCTATTGTCTGCAATTAAAGCGGTCATGTCCGTGTGATTCCAACTTGGTCGGAGTCACACCAATTTTGAAAGTAATGCATGCACTACTTTAGGTGCAACTTGCATAGACATCTGTGTCTTACAAGCCGCAGATGTCTTGCAAGTCGCACATTGGATGAATGACATCCAACTTTGAAATCCTGTGACTTCACTGTGACTTCGATGTGACCAGGGACTAAATATATATGTATTGTTTTAACGTAAAATGGTAGTATTATGAAATATACTCTAAACGTACATTCACTGGATTCAGATGAATGCGGTTATTTTCTATCATAGCCAAGTGTGGGTTTTTCCTTCAGCTAGTGAGCCATTATTGGCTTTATCCTACAGACATGTTTCCATATCAGATAATATGACACAAGGTTTTACTGGTGGTTATTGAGTTTTCCTTAAGCTGGCCATACATGGATCAAAATGTAGCTGGTTCAGGAGGGGCTGGTAACATTTTTGATTCATATATGGCCACTGCAGTTGAACAGAAGTTGATCTACCAATTGACTTCTGTTTAATTGCCCTGTTAGGAAAAAGCTGCTCGATCAGCACTGCAGGCTAGAGATTGCAACGCTGATCTGTGTATTCTGCCCGTGAGGAAGCCTCCTCTCTGTCAGAATACAGTGACTCAGTCGGGAGGATTTCCCCATCCAAGTCAAATGTGCGGATATTGGAATAAAAAATTAAAACAAATGAGACTCATCTATGGCCAGGTTTAAGCTCTGGCAGGAAATCTCAGGTGATGTTCATGCCAGGGGATGGTCATATGTTCTGATCAATGCTTACCACAACATACACAATTAGATGGAAAGAGAAAGAGAGAAATACTGATATGTAAAAAACACAGATTTTCCAGTCAAGAGTGCTATATTTGAGAAACATTGGCATTTCTAATGATTCCCTTTAAGAGTGCTAAATTCTGCTATATTCCTGCCCTATTAGAGAAAAACTGCACTTATTGACATTGCATGCTGCCTTGGATACAGTGCCCTTAAGCCCCCAAAGGTAACACCCACCCACTAATGACACTGAAGTTAGTGGAGTGCATGTACCTGCTATTCAGCAAAGGTGAGAGCTATTCGAAGGGTCCAGGCGCAGAGTATAGGAAGCCATTTGGTTTCTACCAGAGCACCGTACAAGGGATGGTGGGATTTGCTAATGACAACTCCATGATGGCAACCCTTTGACTCACCCAAGCAGCTACCAGGAACAGGGGCGGACTGACCATTCGAGCACTCGGGCACTGCCCGAGGGCCCGGGGTCAGAAGGGGGCCCCATGAGATGCCCCAGGTACCTTTCATTGGCTTTTTCATAGGCCTTTTTGGGTGTGGGCGAGGACACAGGGACCCCATGATCCCCTATTGCCAGGAGGCCCCATGAGTTGTCAGTCCGCCCCTGACCAGGAACAAAGTACAGGTGTTCAGGAAACAGTGTCTTGCACTATAGGGATGTTGACAACTCACAAAGGAAAGCTGGAAGCAGAGAAGAGTGCATGGAATCACAGGGGTATGAAGCAGGCTGGAATGCATGGGGGATCACAGATACGGGTTGCAAACTGAAGTGCACTGGGGTAACAGATGCAGGATACAATCTGGACAGCACTGGGGTCACAGAAGCAGAGTGCAAGCTAAAGTGCACAGGGTCACAGGAGCAGGGAATACACTGAAGACCTGTGAAGCACTGCGGAAAGCGGTAGAGGTAAACCGAGACACTGAGGCTGCTAGTGTGTGGACACATTGCTGGAATGTTGAGCCACATGCCAGCTAACTGTTTATGAAAGTACCCCCTCCGTGCCTGGCTGCAGTGCTGGCAGAACCCAACAGTCAGCTACCCTGCACAGGGTGGGAGACCCATCGCCAGAGTGTGGAACAATTTGGTGTGACATAAATGTAGCTTCTAATGCTTTATCTTTTATTTTTCATAAGCTAGTTGACTGGTTAGAGCATAACTATTATTACAAAAAATAAGCAATATACTTTAAATGAAACACTCTAGATCAGTTTATTGATGACATTTTTTTTCTTTTAAATTCATACTAATAGGTGTAAACCTGGTCGCGTTTATTATCATAGTCTTCTCCTATGTCAGCATGTTCTGTTCCATACAGAAGACAGCTCTGCAGACGTCAGAAATTAGAAGCCACATTCACATGGATGTTGCTGTTGCCAACAGATTTTTCTTCATAGTGTTTTCAGATGCCGTGTGTTGGATTCCTGTGTTTCTTCTGAAGATTCTTTCCCTGTTCCATGTAGAAATCCCAGGTATATGCAATATAACCAAGTGTTTTACATTTTACAGCATGTCCAGGTATTTATATCCATAAATAATTTAAATGAACACATATACTTAATTTTGTTATTCTGTGCCACAACATGTCATATCTGTATCTGCAGAACAATTTATAAAATGCTTTTCAGACCATCCTTAAATTTGGGATCTCCAGGAACATCTTATTTCTGATCCTATACCAGATAGATAGCTAGATAGATAGATAAATAGATAGATAGACAGATCGATAGATATGACTGGTGAGCATGGCCAGTGCTAGACTATTTTACGTCCTAGGCAAGACCAGCTACTTGCCCCCCCCCCCCCAAAAAAAAAATCTGTAGAAAATATTAAATCAACAAAACATGAAACTGCAAATTTTCTTTCAATGTGCAAAAATAAATACCATAAGATGCCACCAGTACCAATAATAAAAAACAAAATAGCTGTATTAACCAATCAGACAAAGAAACAAAAAAAAAAGAGACAGTTACAAAATTCCACAGTGATCAGCAGCCGCCAGCCGGCTTGCAGTAAGGGACTGAGTCTGAGAGGAACACTAGAAGGGGTGGCAGCCAAGCTGCTACACTGGCCCAAGACACCTGGCATCTTCCTCTGTCCTTCCTTCTTCCCCCTCTGTCAGCCCTTCCGTCAGTTGAAGGATCTTTCATGACTTGGTGGCATCCCACAAGATCAATCAGCATCCGCTTCCCTCACCCCGACCATTGTTTGTCCCCTCAGCTCCATGACCCGCCATCCTCCTAGGCTTGGACCACCTCTGATAGCTCCTGCTAGGGTGCAGAGTCAAGGCTGCAGCTCTCAGTGAGGACAGGCGGCCTCCCAGCACTACACCACTTCCCTCTCATACACATCATGCCCTGATAATCCTACTAACATAGGGTTAACCCTGTAACCAGAGCACACCCCCATCTATTTTTTGGCTTAAGCTGTGTAGAAGAAGGCAGATCCAGCATTAGACATGCCTCACTAGCCAGCTTCCTGTTGCTGGAGGAGTGTGTGTGCCAGTGTTTGTACCGGAGATGTACGGCGCATCGACTGCTGACCACCTGGGCTAATGTCATCACTTCCCATCTTAGGGGGAGATGACACTTCACTGCTACAAGAATAAACATATTGGGACAACCCTCCAATTCATTGGATTCAGGTGTTTCAATCACCTCCATGGCCGCAGGTGTATAGAACCAAGAATCTAGGCACACAGACAAACATTTGTGAAAGAATGGGTCGCTCTCAGGAGCTCAGTGAATGAAGGCGTGGTACCGTGATAGGTTGCCACCTTTGCAATAAGTCCATCCATGAAATTTCCTTGCTACTAAATATTCCACAGTCCACTGTTAGCGGTATTATAACAAAGTGGAAGCAACTAGAAACAGCAACTCAGCCAAGAAGTGGTCGGCCATGTAAAATGACAGAGCGGGGTCAGCGCATGCTGAAGCGCACTGCGCACACACATCGCCAACTGTCTGCAGAGTCAATAGCTAAAGACCTCTAAACTTCATGTGGCCTTCAGATTAGCACAACAACAGTGTGTAGAGAGCTTCCTCAGCTCTGAGGAAGGGGACACGTCCTCAAAACACGTCAGCAGGCCAACCTCACCACCAGTCGGACACTCTGCCATCACGCTGAGCCATTCCAGTGACTTTATAGGCTTTTTTATGCACCTCATTTTGTAAGTATGTTTTCTGTTTTTAAAAATTTTATATAAACGTTGGATAATGTGCTAGGTGCTTGCACCACCTGTGTGCTTCTTTTCCATTTTTGGTTTGATCTCCCAGTCTGAGGAACGTTGCATCACCAAGATTTTATTCCAAGGCCATCATACATCTGATTCCTTGGTTTCTTCCTGGCATTGACCGCTTTGAGGCGCTGTGGAGTTAGTGCATTCAGTCCAGTCAAACATTCTCATGGACTCCACCTTGTGGACAGCCTTCCCAGAAGAGTTGAAGCTGTTATATAGCTGCAAAGGGTGAGCCAACTCAATATTGTACCCTACGGACTAAGACTGGGATGCCATTAAAGTTCATGTGCGTGTAAGGGCAGGCCGACCAATACTTTTGGCAATATGGTGTATATATATATATATATATATATATATGTGTGTGTGTGTGTGTGTGTGTGTGTACTAAATCAGGGATAGGCATCCTTTGAGAGGTGGAGATCTACCTGAACAACATGAAAGAGATCAAAGATTACTGGGGTTCAGCGCCATTTTAAAAAAAAAATTAATTACAATTCCTAACTAAATAGCAAGGAAAATGTAGAGAACATTTTAAAACAAATGTCACTGTAAAAATGCAAACTTACCTACATTAAAAATGAACAGTGTCAGTCAGTAGGGCAGTGGAAGGTGTCAGTAGGGCAGAGGCTGGTATCAGTAGGGCAGTGGATGTGTCAGTCAGCAGGGCAGTGGATGGTGTCAGTACAGCAGAGGTTGGTGTCAGTCAGTAGAGCAGTGGATGGTGTCAGTAGAGCAGTGGACAGTGTCAGTAGGGCAGAGGTTGGTGTCAGTAGGGCAGTGGATGGTGTCAGTAGTTTTTATTTTTACATTTTTATTTTTCAATATTTTTCACAATTTCTTTAGGAGCCCTTTTGAAAGGGGGGCACTTGGGGGAGGGGCCTGGTAACAGAAAATTTGGAGGAACAAGGATGGGAAGGACAGCCGGGAGGCCTTTACTAGAACCGATCCCCTGGATTTTCCTCCTGTAAATTGGTAATTGGTTGCTAGCAACCAGTCACCTGCGGGTTAATGTGAAAAGTTAATTTGGCCAGCTCCTCCTCCCGCCTTCTGCCCTGAGCTGTGCTGTCTTCCGCTCTCTGCTGTGCACTGAGAACATCAGCAGCAGTGGAGGAGGCTGAGGGAAAGGGGACCTGTTCGCAGTCTACCTGTCACCTGCCCTGTCAACAGGTAGACCATGATTGACAAGTTGCCGACCCCCGTACTAAATGGTTATGTGTGTGAACAGGCTGTGAGACAATTGTGCAGAGTAAAGATACCATCATCCCTCATCATTCCAGGGGAACTTTGCAGAGAAGTGAAGAATTCATACAAGAGGTCCATAGGCCACACAAAGAGAGTGCTGCCCTGCCCTGCACCCAGGCTCCCCTAGGTGGCAGTGCGCCCTAGAAAGCTGCTTAGCTTGCCTAATGGAAGTACTTGCTCTGCTGGTGGGTTTATCATTTTGGATCATTATCCTTTATCAAACACTTCTGGCAGCCTGAAGGTGCTGAAAGACAAGGGGGCTGCTATTCAGTTCGGTTAATGACCTCATCCTTCTGACAAAATCTAAAACTTACTGGACTCTTACTTTTAAACATCTCAACAGCCCACAGAAAAGATTGTATTTGTATTATAACCAAAACATTAGCAGTTGGAATTGCCAATAAAGTGCTGGAATTGCAAGAGATGGAATAGTGAAAGAGCGGAAATGTATAAACTTATTACAAGACAATTTTATGGTACAGTTTATAGATGCCCTAGAAATTATGCTCTCTGGACCTATTAATCTCAAGCAATAAGGAGCTTATTACAAATGTTCATATAAAAGAAAATCTGGGTAGCAGTGACTATATTATGATATGATTAGATTTAATATGAGTTGTAAAAACACTTAATTTTGAGAGAACACATTTTCCAATGCTTAGGGCTCCTATCCAAGAGTTACACTGGAAGGTAATATTTTCAGCATAGAACAAAAAGCAAAAATGGGAATGTTTCAAATTGACTGTATGCAAACACACTGCAAAATATATCCCAATATGTTTAACCACTTCAGTACTGGACACTTTCACCCCCTTCCTGCCCAGGCCAATTTTTATCTTTCACCGCTCCCACACTTTGAGTGATAATTACTCAGCCATGCAACACTATCCAAATGAAATTTTTTCCATTTATGTTAAAAAAAAACTAGAGCTTTCTTTTGGTGGTAATTAATCACAACTGAGTTTTTTCATTTTTTCCTAAATAAATAAAAAATGACCACAAATTTGTAAAGAAAAATGTATTTTTCTTAGTTTCTTTTATGAAATTTTGCAAATAAATAATCTTTTTTTATAAATTTAGGCCAAAATGTGTTCTGCGTCTTTAATAAAAATAACCCAAATCCGTGCATATTATTTAGTCTGTAGGAAAGTCATAGAGTCACAATTTGTTTGGAATATGAAGAAATTCAATTTATTTTTTTTGACATACTGTCCGCAGTGCACTACAGCATCATCATATAACTGGAGTGGCAGTATGAGTCATAGGGAGTCAAATGTTAAATAACATGAATGGCTATTTTCTAGGCCAATAGGTAAAGGAATATCAAAAGGGCATGAGAGCTGGGCATTGTCCTGAGGAACTTGCACCAAAACAAAAAAAAAAAAAATTCAGTTTGGTGGCGAGCAACAATTCTAATAAAAAATTAAAAGGCATTGGGGTTTCCCTAAAAACACATACCAGACCGTTATACTCAATAGGGATCTGGTATGGATGTCAGGGGGGACCCTATGGAAAAAAAATGGTTGAACCTTTGTCCTGCTAACTTGAAGTCATGTCTCCACGTTCTTGATCTTGTCTTCATATTGCAAATACTGCCCTCCTGAACCTTATTTACACCCTTGATGTGTTTAAAGGTTTCAATCATATCTTTCCTTTCCCTTCGTTCCTTCAGACTGTACATATTAAATCATTTTCGCTGCCGCCTCACAGCTTTTTAAAAGTTTCAAAATGCTGGGAGGAGAGCATTCCAATCATGTGACTGCTGGGACTGGCAGTCACAGCGATCACATGATCAGAAAGCTCCTGATTGCAAGAAGGCCTCAGGAGTTTTGTGATACCCACCAGTAACTATGCTGGGAGTGTGAAGAGTGAGCGATCTCAGCACAGAAATGTTTATATTTAGGGCGGATATACAGTATACAGCCTTTCTCCGTTAAAGCCCACCCGCTAAAATGTGTATGGCTGGCAGGAACAGGTTAAGTTTTTGGAATCTCTCCTGATATGTTTTATCCCTCAGATCTTCCACCATTGTGTTAGTTGTCTTTGGACTTGTTCTATCTTATCAATATCTTTTTGTAAGTGACCATAGTGACACTGTACTGCTCTGGGGAGGTGATTAGGATTTTATTTTTGTTACACTAGGATTGCTTATTACAGTGATTAGCAATCATGTTAACTCTGTGAATGGCATACATTCATGTGCCATTGTGTAATATTGCAATACCTGTGATTAGTCAGATATTATGTGGTACAGGTCTGCTGTAATCAGCCCTGTACCATGTGATCGCTGTGACCCATTATAGAGGTCACGATAGTGCACACCTCTCTGAATGTATCAGCCTGTAACTCCCACTGTGCACTGTGGTCCCAGACATTTAGCCATTTAAACACAATTGTGTGCTCTCTTTTTACAGGCTGCATTTTTTATTTTCTTTTTTAGGCATTTTAAGGTGCTAATTCTGGTTCAGTAATTTCCTTTGCATTTTATTTACAATCTAGTTTTTAATTCCTGCAAAAGCAAGTTGTAAAAGACAGAAAAATATATTACATAAACTAAATCTTACAAAAAAATAGATAACAATATGATAAATGTAATTTTTTGTTATAACTATTTATGAAGCACCAGGCAAATCAGGAAAACAGATGGCGTATATTATAGCAAAATGTGTTTAATGAAGGAGATTCAAAATATACTTTATGTAAATCTCTTTATCCAGACAACAATTTTGTGCATTATTTGGAACATATGTTGGTATATTATTTTCATTTGGTTGTAGATCAAGCACATCTTAATGTTCTGTAACGGCAATGTTCCCACAATGACTTCAACCTGTTCATGTTTTCTTGTATTTGCAGGAACTGTAACTTCTTGGATTGTGATATTCATTTTGCCGGTTAACAGTGCCCTGAACCCCATCCTGTACACATTAACTACAAGCTTCTTCAAAGAAAAACTGAAACAGCTACTACATAGACAGCGTAGGAGATCCATATTTAGGAATGAGCGGAAGAGTTTGTCCACGTCACTGGTATGGAACGAGGAGCCTATTGTCCAACATTCCAATCTTAAACTTGGGTTTCTCCATAAAAAGACTGCTGGGGAAACAAATATTAAGACAACATGATATACAGAGAAACTTCACTGGACAATGCCTCAACTTATCACACCTACCTTATCTCTCTACGAGAAAAAAACTAAAAATATGAATGTTTCGGAAACATTTACATGTCCACTCACAACTCTTTTTCAGATGGGAATGGAGAACAATTGCGATCAAATTGCCTTTACCTGTCCAGATAAAGATTGTCTTTACTGGAGCCATTTTGCTACCATCATTCTAAACTACCAGTGAAGCTATTGTGCTATTTTCCATACTGGGACTTTTGTACATTTTTTATTTCCATCCAGTTTGGCCTCTTTTCTTAAAACATTAGCAGACTTTGAAATGCAGTTTCTAAAGACTCAATAATGTACAGTATAATATTCTCCTTATAGGAGATACTAATTATTTAGAGTCCTGTTAAACAACTGCTTATTTATACATAGAACTATTTCTATATTCCATTGTTACATTTTGTTAAGAAGAAGAAATGCAGTTTACTATACAATAGGGGACAACTATGTGCAGTATAAGCTAAATGGACTGTGTTAAATCAAGGAAAATCTATGGAATTTCTGCACAGTTGACTGTTTTACAGGCACAAAATCTCAGGAGAACATTAGCGGTCTGTAAAAACTCCATATGACCAGCAGAGATATCACTAGGTATGCTTTATATGTATGTGAGTATATGAAATACTTACCAGGGCAGTAATAAAGGGAGCCATTCACCAATAGGCCTTTGTAATAATATCAATGTCCAATCCCGACTTATTATGATAGTGCAGCTTTACCTCTCAGAAATTGCTTGATTTGTATTATTTGCTTGCATTCTCTCCTTGTCAGAGCAGACAAGTAAGCTTGAGAGTCTGCATCTTGCTAGAAGTCAACGTTAATAACAGACATCAAGAAAACCAAAGGCTATGTTAATTGACAGTTTTGCCCTCATCTAGCAGTCCAGACCTAGTGCCAACTATCAGCCCAAAGGATATCTAAGCCAAAGAACATTTATTGTTTTTTTTATCACAGCTTACTATTCCTTAGATGTGGTGGCTGTATTTGTTTAAATTTTTTAGGCTATGAACACTTTTATCAAGTACAGAGAATAGCTGTTCGCCTAGCCAGAAATGCAGTATCCTTATTATGGCTCCCTTCATACATACTGAGGAATAAGTAAACTTAGCCACCATAGGATGGGAAGCATACTCTTTGCAGGATTATCAGGTAGACAAACAAATTTAAAAAAAATTGCACTGGTAAGCTGCAATATATTACTTTCTGGGAGGGTTATATACACTTTAAGCCTGAGCTAGATCAGCCTCCCTGGGGACCTTACAACCTGACACAAAGCTGACATTTCCAATCTGATTTATCTCTGTGAGTACAGAATAATAACAGCACACACACCAATCCTTGAGAAATAAGGTTGCACAATTTTAGCAATTTGTGAAATTCTTACTCATGTCTGTTCCTGAATGGCCCACTTCAGGTGTGTTTTCTATATATCCATTAATGTTTCATTATATATAGTCAGGTCCATAAATATTGGGACATCAACACAATTCTAACATTTTTGGCTCTATACACCACCACAATGGATTTGAAATGAAACGAACAAGATCTGCGTTAACTGCAGACTGTCAGCTTTAATTTGAGGGTATTTACATCCAAATCAGGTGAACGGTGTAGGAATTACAACAGTTTGCATATGTGCCTCCCACTTGTTAAGGGACCAAAAGTAATGGGACAATTGGCTTCTCAGCTGTTCCATGGCCAGGTGTGTGTTATTTCCCGCATTATCCCAATTACAATGAGCAGATAAAAGGTCCAGAGTTCATTTCAAGTGTGCTATTTGCATTTGGAATCTGTTGCTGTCAACTCTCAAGATGAGATCCAAAGAGCTGTCACTATCAGTGAAGCAAGCCATCATTAGGCTGAAAAAACAAAACAAACCCATCAGAGAGATAGCAAAAACATTAGGCGTGGCCAAAACAACTGTTTGGAACATTCTTAAAAAGAAGGAACGCACCGGTGAGCTCAGCAACACCAAAAGACCCCGAAGACCACGGAAAACAACTGTGGTGGATGACCGAAGAATTCTTTCCCTGGTGAAGAAAACACCCTTCACAACAGTTGACCAGATCAAGAACACTCTCCAGGAGGTAGGTGTATGTGTGTCAAAGTCAGCAATCAAGAGAAGACTTCACCAGAGTGAATACAGAGGATGCACCACAAGATGTAAACCATTGGTGAGCCTCAAAAACAGGAAGGCCAGATTAGAGTTTGCCAAATGACATCTAAAAAAGCCTTCACAGTACTGGAACAACATCCTATGGACAGATGAGACCAAGATCAACTTGTACCAGAGTGATGGGAAGAGAAGAGTATGGAGAAGGAAAGGAACTGCTCATGATCCTAAGCATACCACCTCATCAGTGAAGCATGGTGGTGGTAGTGTCATGGCGTGGGCATGTATGGCTGCCAATGGAACTGGTTCTCTTGTATTTATTGATGATGTGACTGCTGACAAAAGCAGCAGGATAAATTCTGAAGTGTTTCGGGCAATATTATGTGCTCATATTCAGCCAAATGCTTCACAACTCATTGGACGCCGCTTCACAGTGCAGATGGACAATGACCCAAAGCATACTGCAAAAGCAACCAAAGAGTTTTTTAAGGGAAACAAGTGGAATGTTATGCAATGGCCAAGTCAATCATCTGACCTGAATCCGATTGAGCATGCATTTCACTTGCTGAAGACAAAACTGAAGGGAAAATGCCCCAAGAACAAGCAGGAACTGAAGACAGTTGCAGTAGAGGCCTGCAGAGCATCTCCAGGGATGAAACCCAGCGTCTGGTGATGTCTATGCGTTCCAGACTTCAGGCTGTAATTGACTGCAAAGGATTTGCAACCAAGTATTAAAAAGTGAAAGTTTGATTTATGATTATTATTCTGTCCCATTACTTTTGGTCCCTTAACAAGTGGGAGGCATATATGCAAACTGTCGTAATTCCTACACCGTTCACCTGATTTGGATATAAATGCCCTCAAATTAAAGCTGACAGCCTGCTGTTAAAGCACATCTTGTTTATTTCATTTCAAATCCATTGTGGTGGTGTATAGAGCCAAAAATGTTAGAATTGTGTCCATGTCCCAATATTTATGGACCTGACTGTATATATATATATGAAATATTAATTTAAAGAAAATATTTCACAAATGAAACATGAATGCTGTTATTGCTGAGTTCTTTATTATAACAAAATGCTAGATAGCTGTTATTTTGAACCAATGGCATCAATACTTTGAGTTGCTAACCCAGGACAAGTAGAACGCTAAGGAGTTTTGACTTTTACTCTGACTTTCTGACAAGTAAACTTGCTTCAGGTGTCTTATAAAGAACTGAAACCAGAGAGTCAGCATAACAGACAGGCAGCATTAAATGACTTTGCTGTGCAGAGTATTTTATATCTTGTATATGCTGTCAATTTAAGTTAAAGTTGTTGTAAACCTCAGACATGAAATTTGAACAAAACATAACCCTCTGTAGTGTGTATTTGTCTCAATTAAGAGCACTAAGTGTCATTTATGTCTGTTGCTTCGTTCCTCTGCTATCAGGCGTCAGTTTTCCTGACACCTAGAGAAAAATAGTGACAGGGGAGGGACCTCCAACTTATTGACAGCCTAGGTTCTGTTCCTGTATGCTGTGTGAAGGAGGGTGTGTTCCTTCCACCCAATCAGCTCTCAGAGCTCTCCTTACTGAACCCTGCAGAGTTTAACTACAGCTCTCCGCCCCCTTTTTATGGCAGCTCAGGCAAGCTGTATGAAAGATGTAGAGAAGAGAAGACTGCAGATAAATAGGTACAACATATTATTTTATCTCTGTGTATCACCTTAGGCCAGTCACTTCACTGGGTATATATAAGGGGTTTACAACCACTTTAAAGAAATAGCCAACAATATTAATCTAATTTAAAAAAACTGAACAACATGTATTTCAAAAAACAAGTCAAGCTGCTATACTACCTTCAAACATTCTCATAAGCTCTTGATAACATTACACATTTATACAAGAATGGGGCACTGGTATTAAGCAAAACCCATTAACCACTTGCCCTCCAAAAGATTTACCCCCCCCCCCCTTCCTGACCAGGTCATTTTTTTATTTTTTTCAGAAAAAAACAATATTTGACATTTTGCTATTACACATGTCCAGTAAAAAAATTTTAAAACTCAAATTTCTTCATAAATGTAGGCCAAAATGTATTCTGTTACATGTCTTTGCCAAAACAAAATCATAAATATGTGTAAATTAATTGGTTTATGTGAAAGTTATAGCGTTTATAAATAGCAGTTTTTTGTTTGTTTTTTTAAATACTATCAATGGCGGCGATCAGCGACTTATAACGAGACTGCGGGACTGTGGCAGGCATTCTGGCACTGGGGGGGAACTGACTAACTGTCACTGACATCCCAGTGACACTAATACAGTGATCAGTGCTAATGAAAAGCACTGACACTGGGCAGGAAGGGGGTTAACATCTGGGGTGATCAAAGGGTTAACTGTGTGCTGTGTGTATTTTATTGTGTGCTGTGTGTGTGATTTACAGTACACAGCAATACAAAGCAGCATGCAGGAGCTGACGGTAGAGATCTGTATTGTTTACATAAAGACCTCTCCCCCGTCAGTGATACTCATCGATTGCCAGGTGCCAGCGGGGAATCACCGGCCGGGACCCGGTGATTGACAGCTGAAGCCGCCAATGGCAGCACGGGTATATATATGTGATTTTGCGCAGTCTTGCCGCCCTGTAGAAGTATTTCTGCTGTAGGGTGGCAGGCAAGCTGTTAAAGAAGGCAAGTAGGCATGGCTCATGGTTTTTGAAATATGAAGGTTTTGGGATTGTTTGTAAGTCCTACATTCTATACTGGTTAAGCTCCTCTCACTGACAAAAATTTAATTCCACACCTTAGCATTAAAGTGGTCCTAAAGTTAAGCTTTTTTTTTTTCCTTAATACATTCT